ATTTACGAATAAATTCTTTACAAATCCTACCATGTGAATTCATGGATATTTTTTTTTTCACATTCTGTCTCTCACAGTTGAAGTGTACCTCTGGTGCAAATTACTGAACTCTATCATCATTTTAAGTGGGGGAACTTGCACAATCGGTGGCTGACTAAATACTTTTTTGCCCCACTGTAGTGAAATCATGGCTCCACCATTTTACTAATTGGTGTATTGATAATAAGAAGAGTGCTTCAAGTGAAGAGAATATCAATGATTCTCTTCATGAGCCCTTGTTTTATATTAGGAGAAGTTTTCTTTGGGAGAGAGAGTGGTTTCTTTCTGATATATATTCTATGAAATTATTGTAAAACAGCTGTCTGACATCATTTTAAAAAACTTCTAAATTCTACCATAAACCCATCAATTTCTGCTGTTTTCACTTTAGACACAGAGAGCTGTGTCATTGTTCATCTCAGAGTCACACAAACAGTCAAGAAACAAAGTGTTTTCAGCTCTTCCTCCTCTATCAGGCATTCTTTACATACCTGAGAGTGCCCAGTCTCCATTGTGGATCCTTCAGTCCAGCTGAAAGCATCTTCATTCCTGAGTCTCCTGGATGATTGTAGCTCAGATCCAACTCCTTCAAATGAGAGGGGTTAGAGCTCAGAGCTGAAGCCAGAGAAGTACAGCCTTCCTCTGTGATCAAACAGCCTGACAGCCTGTGAACACACAAAACAGCAATCAATCTGTGAACTGTTCCCTGAATGTTTTATTTTTAAATATTGAGATACAATGTCATCCATAAGCCACAAACCACAAGAGATGAAAACAGCAGCCTAAAATTGATAAATAAAGCAAAATCCTACAATATTAAGCATTGAATTTCAACATTTACTTAGTCCCCTGTGAGCAGCACTTGATGACAGTGAAGAACGCCCTTTAGGACGTGACTTTCAACAGAACCAGACTGAGGGACGGGCAGCTATCTGCTTTGACCAGTTGTAGAGTAATTAGAAAGGAGAAAAGAAAGAAAAAAGTCTTGAGAGATCAATAATAACAAACAGGACAAAACACAAGCTACAAGAGAGGACAAAGTTATTTCTAGTTTAGTATCAACAATTTCAAGATTCACAGTGTTACTGTAATGTTGATTTAATGTCATCCAAAGGAAGTATCTGGTGAGACGCCATGTTTCTAAGATTTTCATCGCTGAGTACAATAACCTCTGTTATATATGCTATATTTAGAACCAGCACATTAGAGGTCATCAAGGTGTTTATGTCCTTAAGACATCCCTGCAGTTTAATTAACTGGTGTGTGGCATTTGGCTCAGTGGATATAAAAAGTTGGGTATCATCCCCAAAGCAATGAAAATGTATGCTATAAATTAAAACGAACTGGCTCCAGTATGCAACCCTGTGGAACGACATACTTTCACAGGGTTCAAACCATTTCTGTTAATACCAATGATGTATTCTATGTGTCTGTAGTAAAATGTAATGATCAAGGGCACTTAATGCTGCACTTTGGTATAGCAAGACAAACACAGTAAAGGTTATTATCTGAGACCATAAGAAGATGTCATATGCTGTGAGAGTGTCTGGTCAGGTGTGGTCCAGGTTCCTGTTGTCCGTCCCCTGGGGTGGAGTTGGCAAGCTCATCACCTGCTTCCAATTTCTGGGGCTCCATCTAGAGGGTTTTTAAGCCAGCACTGCCTGCCACTCCTCGCCAGTTCGTCCTGGTAAACTTGGCCTCCTCTGTGCTCGGACTCTGTGTGCCTGGATCATGGGTTAATGTGTTCTCCATCTCCTGTGTTCTCCAGATTCATCACCCGTCGTACTCATCAGCAGCGCTGGTTCTGTTTCGATCCCGTTCTCCAGTCTGCCTAGAACCCTAGGACCACACACTCACCTTCTCCTCAGCCTGCCCTCCAGCCCGTACTTTAACTTCCCTGGACACCTTGGAACCTGGACCAGCTTCCCCACACTCTCAACAATCTCTGGGACGCCCCCACGGCAACCCCTTCCCCGCCTAATAGCCGGTGTTTTCAAGTAAGCACAAGACTCTCCACTAGTACCACTCACTTCTGCCCTTTAATTGAATCCCATTCAGTAAAACCCTTCTCCTGTGTTTGCAGAAGTTCCCGCCCGTGTTCTCCTTGTGTTCAACATCCGTTTCTCCGCCCTCGGGCCTCCCTCAGTTCCTGCGAATGATTTCTGTTAGACCCAGTCTTGTTTAAGTTCCTTTTCCTTTCAATAAATTGTACATAGTTCGAGCAATTGAGTCTGCTCTTGAGTCCACCGCATCCTTATTTGTGACAGAACGAACTGGCCAATAATGGACTGAGCGGACCCAATTCGCGCCGTCATAAATAACAGGGCGCGGTGTTAGTACGGCATGAACAGACATTGACGTCCCTAGTGGACCAGTGTAACACTATTGGTGAAAAGCAAGAGGAAATACTCACCAGGCTTTCAGAAATCAGTGAGCCGAATCCACCTGTTCCCCCCCAGTCAGCCGGGACTGTCGCCTGCACCCACTATGATAGAATCAGTTTATCGGGGCATTTCCTCCCCTCCACCTGAGCCTTTCCACAGAGAGTTGGGTCAGTGTGGGGGCTTCCTTTTTCAGTGTTTGTTGTTCTTCAGTCGCATGCCACACGCTTTCCCAAATGATGCTGCCAAGATTTCCCATTTTGTAGGGTTGCTAAGGGGTAAGGCGCTCGCGTGGGCTGAGGCGTTTTTGTCTTCTCACCCGATTGCCTCATGCTCCTATGAGGAATTCCTCGAGGAATTTAAGGCTACATTCGCTCACCTGATTTCTGAGGGTACTGCAGCTAAGAGGCTGTTGGGACTCCGTCAGGGGAAACGCAGTGTTGCGGAATATTCGATTGAGTTCCGCACCGCCGCTGTAGAAACGGGGTTGGCCAGACGCCGCGCTGCGGGGTATTTTTCTAGTGTCCCTTAGCAAACAGATGAAAGATCAGCTAGCTGTACACGACGAGCCGGCCACGTTCAAAGCACTCGCCTCTCTCGCTCTCAGGATTGATAATCGACTGAGAGACGTTCCAAGCCCTCTCCGTCTCTGTTTCGGCCCGCGACCATTTCCACGTTACCCCCGCCACTTCTGGTAACAACATCCGCCCGTCCTCGCGCTCCTTCCCCAGAGCCTATGCAGATCGGCCGCTCACGGCTCACTGTTGAGGAGCAGGAACGGCGTTTACGAGCCGCAGAGTGTTTTCTACTGCGGAGGAAGCGGCCATTGCATCGCATCTGACTGGTCCGGCCAAAAGGCGTGGCCCGCCGGTAAGTCCGGGGTTAAGGGTGGGCAGTGTTTTCAAAGGAGATAATGTCACGGCTGGGGGCAGTCGTGTGGTGTATTTAAAAAAGGATCCAAATTGCAGGTACTGGCTGGGGTGCGAGTGAGTGTTTATTTACAGCGGTGAGAAGGTGACAAAACAGGAAGAGCAGAGCGGGGAGTAAACAAACCTAAACTGGGAAAACTAACGAACAAAACTTAAACCAGACAATCACGGGAGGAGGAGCAAAATGCACAGAGAGAGATGGCAGAGAGACGCAGAATGAGTACCGGGTAACATAGAATAATGCAGACTGACATGGAATTAAACAGACGACGCGACAGAGAGCACAGGAAAACACAGGGCTTAAATACACGGGGAGTAATCAGGGAATGGGCCACAGAAGGGAGACACAGCTGGGAGCAATTAGGCTAACGAGACAGGGGAGAGGTAAAACTGAACACACTGACATGAGACATGAACTTTCAGAATAAAACAGGAACCTAACAGACACAGAGAACCAGACAGGACACTGAACTTGACAGGCAGACTCATGAGCAGACACAATAACACCATGGACAGACAGAGAGAACACAGGCAGGCATGAAACAAAAACACTAACACATAGCAAACCTAAACAAAAGACAAAACAGAATAACCGAGAACAAAGAATAATATAAAGAAACACAAAACACCGAGTCCTCAGACTCAGGACCATGACAGATAAACCCCGTTTTTTGCTGTCAGTTTCTTTGATAGCTAGTACTAAGGCTCATTCTTTTCATGCTCTCGTGGACTCTGGGTCAGAGCAAAATTTAATAGACACTGAGGTGGCTAAATGTTTGAACTTGCCCATCACTCTGCTCGAGCCTCCAATTCCAGCCTCTGCTGGCAGGCAATCATCAGGAAAATATAACCCTCTTTACCACTTCTTCCCTTGACGTGCCATTAATCCTCGGTTTTCCGTGGGTGCAGAAGCATAATCCACACATCGACTGGACAGGGAAAAGAGTACCAAGTTGGAGTTTGTTTTGACTTGCCAACTGCCTTAAGTCAGCCTTGCCCTCGGAGGCTTCTAATTCTCCTCCATTGGTTGTTTCCACTCCTGACCTTACCGCTGTCCCTCCTGAATATCATGATCTACAAGAGGTGTTTAGTAAAGACAGAGCTCAGTCGCTGCACCCTCATCGACCTTATGATTGCGCCATTGACCTCCTTCCTGGTGCTCCTTTGCCCTCCAACCGCCTTTATAACCTGTCCTGTCCTGAGAGGGGGGCTATGGAGAAGTACATCCGGGAATCGCTGGCAGCCGGTCTCATTCGTCCTTCCTCCTCGCCAGTGGCCGCGGGTTTCTTTTTCGTTTCTAAGAAAGATAAGTCGCTCCAGCCGTGCATAGATTACAGAGGACTTAATGCAATCACAATTAAGAACAAATACCCCCTGCCTTTGATCAATTCAGCTTTCGAACCCCTCCATGGTGCTACTATCTTCTCCAAACTGGACTTGAGAAATGCATAACACCTCGTCCGCATAAGGGAGGGAGACGAATGGAAGACTGCTTTCAACACTCCCCTGGGGCATTTTGAATATCTGGTAATGCCATTTGGCCTCTCTAAAGCCCCTGCAGTCTTTCAAGCACTTGTGAATGACGTGCTCAGAGATTTCCTGAATGTTTTAGTTTTTGTTTACCTGGATGACATTTTGATTTTTTTCAAAGTCTCTCGAAGAACATCAGGTCCATGTCCGAAGCGTACTGCAGCGACTATTGGAGAACCGTCTCTATGTAAAGGCCAAGAAATGCGAATTCCACACCTCGTCTGTCTCATTTCTGGGCTACTTACAGGCGGGAGGGCAGGTGAAGACGGACCCTGTAAAGATCAAGGCAGTGGTGGAGTGGCCCATCCTTGATTCACGCAGACAGCTACAACAGTTCCTTAGTTTCGCAAATTTTTACAGGCGCTTTGTCAGAAACTACAGCCAGGTAGCTGCACCTCTCACTCGCCTCACTTCCTCAAAGATTCCCTTCATTTGGTCCCCCGAGACTCACTCAGCCTTCACCACGCTCAAACAGCTCTTCACATCAGCTCCCATTCTAATCCATCCTGACACAAGTAGTTCATAGTGGAGGTTGACGCTTCAAATGTGGGGGTGGGGGCTGTGCTGTCACAAAGGTCTGGTCCACATGGTAAGCTCCAGCCCTGTGCCTATTTTTCTCGATGCCTTTCTCCTGCCGAACAGAATTATGACGTGGGGGATAGAGAGCTTCTAGCCATTAAATTATCTTTAGAGGAGTGGCGCCACTGGCTGGAGGGAACTAAACATCCGTTTATAATTTGGACAGATCACAAGAATCTAACTTATCTCAAATACGCAAAAAGACTGAACTCTCGCCAGGCTCGGTGGTCTCTCGTCTTTACCCGA